AAATTCCAGTGTCATATAGAAACTTTATTCTTACAAAGTTCTAGTCCTTCCTCCCCTTTTTTATGTGCTCTCCTTATTATAGTGCTGTTGTTAAGTGCTGTCGATTTGGCTCTTACTCATGGCGACCTTATGCAGGGTTTTCTAGGAGTTACTTTCTTCTTGTGCTTAAACACAACAGCAATTGTGAGGATGGTACAGGACCAGAAAGTGTTTTGTTCTGTTGTACAAAAGTATCCCCCTTGTTCTGTTTGAATGTGTATATACAGGTTCCTCATGCACACAAATAAGTATTCTGAAATTCCTATTCTTCATAATATTAACCATAATTTTTCATGATCTACAGAATATAGAGCATTTTCATAGTCAATAAAACACGAATAAACATCTTTCTGGTATTATCTGCTTTCAGCCAAGATCCATCTGATGACAGCAAAGCTATCCCTAGTTCATGTCCTCTTCTGAATCTGTCTTGAATTTCTGACAGTTCCCTGTAGGTATACTATTGAAACTGTTTTCGAATTATCCTCAGCAAAACTTGCAATACTTGCATGAGATATTAATGATATTGTTCAATGATTTCCACTTTCTGTTGGGTCCCCTCTCTTTAGAATGAGCACAAATATGGATCTCTTCCAAATGGTTGGCCAGGTAGCTGTCTTCCAAATTTCTTGACATAGATGAGTGAGCACACTCAGTTTGTTTTAAGATTTCAATTTGTATTCAGTCAATTTCTGAAATCTTGTTTTTCACCAATGCCTTCAATGAGGCTTGGACTTCTTCCTTTAGTTCTTGATCATATGCTACTTCTTGAAATGGTTGAAATCAATTATTTCTTTTTGGTACAGTGATGCTATGCATCCATTCCATCTTGTCTTGATGCTTTCTGCGTCATTCTGTATTTTTTCCATAAAATCCTTCCATATTGCAAGTCGAGGCTTGATTTTTCTCTTCAGTTCTTTCAGCTTGAGAAATGCTGAGCATGTTCTTCCCTTTTGGATTTTCTAACTCTGGTTCTTTGCACATTTCTTTATACTTTGTCTTCTCAAGCTGCCCTCTGAAATTTTCCATTTAGCTCTTTTACTTCATTTCTTCCTTTAGCTTCCTTATGTTCAATAGCAAGTTTCAGAGTCTCTTCTGATAATCATTTTAATCTTTCTTTCCTGTCTTTTTAATGACATATTGCTGTCTTCCTGCTAAGATGTTCTTGATGATATTCCACCACTTTTCATTGACGGTCATTAGTTTAGTCTACTGCAACAAATCTGTTTTTGAGCTGGTCTTTAAGTTCAGGTCATATTTTGGCTTTTTTGAACTTGTTTTTATTTTCTTCAGTTTCTGCCTGAACTTGCATATGATGGTCTGTTCCATTGGCCTTGTTTTGGCTGATATTGAAAAACAATAGCTTCACATTTCGATATTTTTGTATAATAAAGGTTTTCTAGGATTTTGTAGCAGTACTTTTTGACTTACACTTGTCTTAGTGTTGTGAACTAGTTTCTTCTTTGAGTCTGCAATTTCCTTCATTCTCTTTTGCTCCAAAGGAATAGAGAGATGCTACTCCTCAAACTAGGATGTAGAATTTCCATATTTAAACTTGTCTTTAAAAAGAGGCCAATGAATTGGTTAATGTTTCACTTTTTTAATGACAAATATTATACTGTGAGATATAATATAGCAAGCTTATCTGGAAACCTTTTCATTCCCATTCTTTTGTCAAAATATTCTGTAAACAAAACAAAACTTGTTCTTAAAACTTACCTCAGTGTTTTGTGATTTCACAAAGCACCTGAAATCTGAGTGTTTTCTGCATTTTGGGTCATGAAGACATAATAACCTTTGTTACAAATCTAAAGAACTACCTCTTGATGGAGCTGTGGTTATTTTTTTCTGTTTGGGCACTTTCATTCAACCAGAATAAGGAGATTTTGTACTGTGAGGCCCTGATAATGAACTGCTATCTGCTTTCAGTGGAGAGCAGAGATGGCTTTAGTTTTTGTTACTGCCTTGACAAAAGGTTGAAGCTAACTCTGTCCTTGTGCATAAACCAGTCCTTACAGGATAGCAGAAGCAAGGCATCCAAACACTAAATTCAGACCTGGCACGGTCAGGCTGCCCAGAGTCCACAGTAAGAAATCTTTCACAAAACAATGATGAACCACACTGGTGAGGCCAGATAAGACAAAGAGGTAAGGTTCCCAAATGTAGATTAGTTTACATCCAAAACCACTTGTTCATTTCTTCTTTTTTCATTCCTTTTGAAAGAGAAAGAACGTGAGATCTGTATTCGGGAGAGACTTGCAGAGGGCAAACTGGCGAAAGCGGAGAGTCTGCTGAAGAATTACAGTCTGCTGAAGGAGCAGAGGCTCCTGTCTCTGGCCAGTAACCCAGGTAGGAGAGCCTACTCAACGAGCAGGGAGCAGGGCCACAGGGAAGGGCCTAGCCTCGGGCTGTCCTGGAGTTAGCTGGGAGCTCTCTGATTAGTCTCACATTTTAAGGTGGATTTCATTGAATCCATGCATTTCAGTGCAAGAGTTCTATTATAGCCATGATTTCTGTACTTGGATCATAGACTCAAGGCCATGATTTTATTTACCTGATGAAACTAGTATTTGACATTTTTAAAATGCCATGCGTTGCAAGCTTTTCTTGGGTTATATTATCAGAACTCTTCATCTTTGGACTAATGTTTCAAGCAGACACTCTAACATTTTAATACTGCTACAGCTCCTGGACTACCAGCTGTTACATGGGAGCAAGATGAGGCTTTCTGCTCCTGTAAAGATTTACAGCCTCAGAAACTGTGTACAGGGTCGGGATGAGTCGGAACCGACTCCACCCAACATAACAACAACAGCTCCTGGAGGAGTCCTGGTGTAGCGCTATGGGTTAATACACCAGACTGCAAAGCCAAGGTCGGCACTTCAAACTCACCAGCTGCTCCTACACAGGGTCAATATGCGTTGGACCCAATTTGATGGCACTTTGAAAACAAGTAACTTTGTAGTGAGCAAGTGATGGGAAAAAATGACACTAGTGATTGAAGTAAATTATATAAATTGTATAAGCAATTGCATACAACTTTGGCTACATCTTTGTTAACATATCCTCTTTTCTATTAAAATATCACTATGTACCAGCCACTCTGCAGGAGAAAGATGAGGCTGTATGCTTCTGTAAAGATTTATAGAACTACAGTCTCAGAAATGCTGTGGAGCTCTTCTTCTCTGTCCTGTAGGGTTGTTAATAGTCAGGATCAACTTGACCTCAGTGGGTTTTTTGAGTTGATCACTACCATTTCAGTATTTTTATGATTTTTGTGTCATCTTGTCTTCGACTCCACATTGCCATCTATGATACTTTTAGAGACTTAATTTTTAACATCATTCTTAGTCTATTTCATGAACTGCTAATTAATTTTCTAAATACTTTTCTTTCTCATAAAACTATCTTAGTAAGATATTGTTGGCTTGCAGGTTCACTATGAGATCTATATTCTTTCCTTTCCTTTTTTTGCTATATTTCATAGTATATGTTAAATTTACTCATTACAGTATACCAACTGACTGTAGTGATGAAAGATGGATTTATTTGAAGTAGTGGAGTTAAGGTCTTAATAAGCAATCAACAGCTTTGCTTTGAAGCAGAATCAATGTCTGAAGTGGGCCTTCATAGTCAGGGGCCAATCAGAAGGAGATGGTTCTCTGCTGCACACTCCTACGTTCTCTGCTGCACACTCCTACCTGAGACCATTTCCGGTTCTCAGCCTTGAGTGTTCTTCCCCCAAGGAGTAGCAGGCTAACTTCCTCTTCACTGTCCCAGGTCACTGCTCAAAAGTCACCTAGTGTGAGGCTCTCTGTTCACTCCTCTGGCTCCCTCCCTCACTGTTACTTGCCCCCTCATAAATCCTTACCTCTAGAATGTTGTTGTTGTTGACTCGGTTCTGACCCATTGCGACTTTGTATAGGGTTTTTGAGGAGCTTGAACCGCCGACCTTGTGGGTTCCCAGTCCAGGGCTGATCCTACAGCACTACACCAGGAGTCCATTTTTCAGAACAGGGCCATATTATGAGCTCAGTAGATCTTTGAACATATTTCCTGTAATGAACGCAAAGGAAAAATACTGATATTCAAGCTTGCAATCCTCCAGTCTAGCTCTGTCAGGAGCTAATACTGTTGCCACTTACCTTGAAAAAGTTCAGCTCCCATTTTCCACTATACTAGTAGCTTGATTTCCCTGGGCATTACCTTTTGTACACTAAGCTCATTTTGGTTCTGTGAGAAACAAGTTTCAAGTCAATTAAGCTGCTTTGAGCTAAGTGTTCTTGAACCCAAACTGTGGGGACTCTTTTAAGAAGGAGCCCCTGCCACTATGTTTTTCTGGAAGTAATGTGTTCTAGATAGAAAGGCACTCTTTTCAGGAATAAGGATCATTAACATGATTTCTAGCTGTTTTATATTGTGGCCCATAATCCCCAGTGCACTTACCCTTAACACAAGTTGACTGTTAGGAGAGAAAAATATATATTTCTTGTTTGCTTTTGAGCATTCAAAGCTTTTTCTTTCAGTGCTATGGACTGAGGGATGATTGATTTCTAATGAGCTCTGAGGAAAGAGTAAATGAGTGTTTGGGGTAAGTATAAGTGAGAAGTTGAACCTCTGTTCTGATCATTCAAAACACTTTCTCTTTCTAAAGACCTCCTTGATCTTCCATCTGCGATGATTAAGAAGAAAGTTCATTTCAGTGGGGAAAGCAAAGAGAATGTCTTGAGGAGCGAGAATTCTGAGAGTCTGCTGACCTCAAAGTCCAAGTGCAGAGACCTGAAGAAAAGACTCCATGCTGCTCAGCTGCGTGCTCAAGCCCTGTCGGATATTGAAAAGAATTATCACCTCAAAAGCAGACAGATCCTGGGCATGCGCTAGCCTAGCAGAGAGACACTGCGATACTTAACGTTGCCTTAACATTGCCAAGCCTTTAAACATTGATATTCAACTGCTGTAGCTTTATAATATACTTGGTTCCATGAGCCATGCCTTTTGTACAGTAAGCATGATATTTGGGAACTGTTTTTGCTGGTCTTCAGCAACAATTGTAGAAAGTGCCCACACTTTTCCTTGTTTCTTTTTTTTTTTTTTTTTTTAAACTAGTAGCTAAGAACACTTTCTAGAAAAAATGATTTTTTTACTTTGCTGGTTGGCTGGACTTTTAATCCTGTGTTTGATTACTACTAGAAACAAAAGATGCCACATTCTAAATCTTGGGGAGTGGGAATAATGTTAGGGAAAAAATATTAACCCATGAGTGGCCCTAACTGAGCAGTTTTGATGTGGTGTGCCTACAATTGTCATGTCTAGATTTAAAATTTAAGTCAGGTTTTTAAAAATTTTGAGCTTAGTTTCAAATGGGTCATAATATCTGGACATCTGGTGTATAAATACCCCAGTGCTCTGTAATACATATTGATCACCTTTCATGAAAAATCCATTACTGTGATGTCTTTTTTTTTTTTTGTCCTTTATACTCTAAACAGTGTATGTCGAATTTACTCTACTTTACAGTATGTGAGCCATCTGTCACGTTAACCACCTCTTTCTCACTAAATTAAAAGAGTTCTTTTGATTTCCTGTGCTTGTGCCTCTTTGATCCACCTCTTGGTAGGGGGAGGGTATGTATGATTTACAAGCACTGGGGAGAGTCTGCTGCTAAGCTGAAATGGCTGTCCCCCATCTCCTTAAAACCATGCTGTTCATGGGGGCTGGTGGGGTGGGTGTTCTTACCCCCCAGTGGGCAGATGGCAATGTCTGAAAATACTTGATTGTCATGACCGGGGGACGATGCCACTGGCTTCTAGTAGATAGACAACAGGAACACTGCTAACCCTCCTGGACAGTCCCCACCATAAAATGTCAATAGTGCCACGCTGGAGAAACCTGGTCTAAGCTCCAACTTACTGTTTTCCCATCTTTGAAGGAAACTTACCTTGAAATTTGATGGATGTTTAATTTTTAATAGGAATTCACAGTTCTTGCTGAGCCATCACATTTTTTCATGGGAAGTTTTCCTGGCAATGCTAATCATTTGGGTTTACTGCAGTAAAATCAAGTTAAACCTCAAAATGCACTCATAGCAATCCTGTACAGGGTTTCCAGGGCTGTAAGAGAATAGAATAGAAAGTCTCATCTTGCTCCCACTGGTGGGTTTGAACTGCCAACCACATGTACAGCATCATCAGAGCTCCAGCATCATCAGAGCTCCTTGTGGGTTAATAATAAGAGGAAACCGCTCCTTTAGACACACAATCACTATTGCACAGCTGGTAATGTAGTTCTATCAAAGATGATACCCAAACACATTCAGAAATGGAGTCTCACACCTTTTTAATATATCAAAAATTCGACTACTTCTAATAGGACCATTTTGACATTGACATTCAGTATAACCCCTGGTCAGCTACATCATTTGCAGGGCCCAGTGCAAAATGAAATGTGAGACTCTTTGTTTAAAAACAGGACGAAAAACAAACATTAAATATAGATTAATACCTTCTCCTTGTCCAGGTGGGCTCTATTTGTGGTGGTGTGTTTCATGTTTTAAGTAAAGGAATATGAAAATTTTAATTATTAGCATGAGTTGCATCTTAATCTTGTGCATTGCCATTTTAAAATGCAAATATCAGAGCATGGAATATGTATGGAAAGTCACGGGAATGCTGCCATCTATATTTTGTGGCTTGTCCTGGGAAAGGGCCGTAAGTTGGCCAGAGAGGCAAACATATAAGTCAGACTCTGGAAGATAGAAGGAGGGGAGAGAGCCCCCCATCCCTGGTGTGTGCTGGAATCCTGGTGTGATGCTATAGGATAAGCACTGGACTGTTCACCATAAGGTTGGCAGTTCAAACCCACCTGTCGCTCACCAGAAACCCTGTACAGAGTCACTATGAGTCAGAATTGACTTGATGACACTTAACAACAGTGGCGTGCTGGAGTCTTGGTGTGGCATAGTAGGATAAGAACTGAACTGTAAACCACAAGGTCAGTGGTTCCACCAGCCACTTCTTAGAAATGCCATCCAGGGTCACTATGAGTCAGAACTGACTCCACAGCACCTAACAAGAGCAGCAAGGAAGGGCTTCTAAGCATGGGGATACTTTCTGACCCTCATAGACTCCCAGGATCCATGACACTGGTGTGTGCTCAGTTGCCCTTTACCCCTGCCAGAAGAGGGGTGGGTATGAAGAAGTCAAGTCAAGTGGCTTTTTCCCAGAGGCCCACTGCCCTCCTAATGCAGGGCATATCAGCAACTTCCAAGGATCTTTAAGTACCCCCACCCAAGAAGGAACTCTGGTAGTACAGTGGCTATAAGTCAGGCTGCTTAACCACAAGGTCAACAGTTTGAAACTACCAATCATTCCATGGGAGAAAAGCGAGACTTTCTGCTCCCGTAAAGATTTACAGCTTCGGAAAACCTTTGCAGGGTCGCTATAAGTTGGAACCGAATCCATGGCACAACCACCATCCATCCATCCATCCATCCATCCATCCATCCATCCATCCATCCAAGATATGGCTTCCAGCAGGCTGCTCACCAGATATGCCATGAGGCTACCAGTGGGGGGGAGAGGGGGGGATGAGGGAGTGTGGGGAAGCTGCTGCCATGTTATACCCTGAGATGCTTTGGGGCCTGATCATCCTCTAGACCCCAGCTAGGTTCCTTCTGGGAGCAGAAGGTGACAGTGGTCACAGGACAGGGAGATAGGAAGGGAGGGCTGGGTGGGGCTGAAGCACCAGGGGTCATTGGAGCACATGGCAGGACCACGCATGAGCCTCCATGTGTCCATCAGTTCACTTACAAAACAAATTCAAAGACAGAATTATTAAGAATTTCAAGATGGCAACAACAGAACAGTGAATCCCAAGTGTGGAGCCCGATGTGACTGCAGAGGACTCCCATGGGACCAGCCTTTTCTTCAGATTAAGTTTCATTGTCATTTGGAAAACTGTGGCATGCTGGATAGTTTCTCTAGCTTTCTTCATTCCAGACTCCACCTACATTTTCCACTCATTCTTTCGTTCATCTTGAAAACATTTATTGGTATGGTGCTGTAGGATAAGCACTGGACCACAAAGTCAGTTTGAACCTCAAGGTCTTCAGTTCAAACTCACCAGCTGCTGCTCAGAAAATATGTAGGGTCGCTGTGAGTTGGAACTGATTTGACAACACTTAACAACCACCACCTACTGGTGTGGCACTGTAGGATAAGTTCAAGTCCACTAGCTGCTCCTTGGAAACCCTATACAGGGTCACTATGAGTGGGAACTGTGGCAACTGCACTTAATAACAATATAAGTTATAAGTAGGTGTTTTAGGTGCTGAAGATTGAGCAGCCTAGAAACACTGAAATTCCTGCCCTCATGGAGATCCTATTTCAATGGGGGAAGACAATAAACAAATAAACTCAAAAGTATGCCAGTGATGTTAAGTGCCCTCAAGTCAGTTCAAACTAACCTTGAATTCCAATGCATTAACCCACCCCAGGCCTCCATGCTAGTGATAAGTACGAAGAATCAGAATAAAGCCAGAAAGAGTTGAAGTATATGTGTATGTGTTGCATGGGTTAGGGCATTTTAAAGGAAGGCAGCAGAAAGAAGCTGTTAGTGGAGGTCAAGGTTGAGGTGGAGGAGAAGAAAGCAGGGGAGTGAGGAGAGGAAGGAGAGGAGAAATGGCATACAAGTGAGGAGGTAGCCAATTTTGACTCATGGTGACTGCATGTGTATCAGAGTAGCACTCTGCTCCATGGAGTTTTCTGTGGCTGAGTTTTCAGAAACAGATCATCTGAAGTGCATCTGGGTTTATTTTAAACTTCCAACCTTTCAGCTGATAGCCAACCAAGTGTGTAAACCATTTGTACCACCCAGGTACTCAAGTAATATGGTTGCAGAAATGAGAACAAGAAGGTGAAGAAAAGTGGATGTTGAACATAACTGGAGGGAGCAAAAGGACAGGACTTGAAAGTGAACCAGAGGATGGGAAACTGAGGAGAGACGTTTTCATCTTATTATATGTGTTGGTGAGAAGGGCATCTCTTTAACAAGGAATATCCTCCCAAATAATGTCTTCCAGAATCTCTTTCTATGATGTCTTACTTGACTCCACCATCATACTTACCTTTACCACTACAGAGTATTTAAACAATGAGTTTAACCAGGCACAGCCAGCTCATATACATTTGAAAAATTACTTTTAAAATTAAACAGTTGAGGAGAACAAAAAGATGGAGGATCGGGTGGAAGTGCAGTAAGGAGCTCCGTCAGCAACAACACAGAATACAGGACCAAGCGGCTCAGGGGATGGTCCCAGAATTCTGAACCATATATTAAGGAATATTTAGAAGTTTGGAAGGATTACAGCTAGGGGAATTAGTAGCAGAAACAAGAAATCTATTGCTTTCTAGTTCAAGACACTCAGCTGCTCCAGGAGCTGTCACTTTGGGTGAGACCAAGCAGGGGAAGGATCAGAGTAGCCACAGACGCCCGACAGAACCACAAAGATAAAGGTGTGGACATTCTTTTCTTTTGGTAGCTGTTCATTGGTCCCTTGCTGTCTGCACACCTCCAATCTGGTGACTATACGGGTGCCTGAGCTAGTGGACACCCAGCCCCACCCTTGGAGGGTTCTACTACACATGTGCACAGATCTCGAAATTTAAAGAGACAGTTTCCACTTAAAACCAAATGGCCACAGCCGGCCCTAAACTGCTTATAACTAGAAAAAAGCTTGAATGGGGATTGTGGATTGGGACAGGAAGACATAAAAGGAAATAGGCCAAAAATTAAATCCTAAATTATGTCAAAACGACCAACAGTGGCATCTTGAAATTTCTCAAGAAGAAGAGTGAAAAGAGAAGCCTATGTCATGATCACAT